CTCTTGTCCTTCACCCTATCACCTTGTTTGGAACACACAAAATTTCTTATTATAATATTTCCTATTTTACGGATTTTATTTGAATAATTCTTATGTATACTGAAACCAACTTTACCCCCATAAACATTGTAAAAGTCTCATGCTTCATCGTCAGTGTCAAACTGCTTGTTCAATTTTGGTGTGAATTCCATCTCAGTGGAACTGACAACTTCAGGTGCTAAGTTATCGGTAATATTGATTTCGGCAATGATTGAAACGCTTGTTCTCACATCATTAGTAGTCAAGTCGTCGTCCATTAGGATAGCTTAAGTATGAATGCTACAACAAGTGAAAGTTCCATTAGAAGGTTAAAGTTAATTGCTATAACTTGTGAGAACAAACAAAATACTAGATATTTACCAAAATAATGAACAGGCCAAAAAAATAAGAGTACCTAACAAAAAATAAAGTATCAAAAAAAATATTTAACTACAAATAGCTTTGCTGCAGTTAAAAAAATTAAGTTGAAAAAAACAGTCTGTTACTTTCAAAAACACAGTTTCATATGTTAATTTAAAGAGTTTCATCTCATGGTTGAAGTTATTTGGGTTGACTTTGAAAAAAATTTGACAAAGTTTGGTATTATTTGCCATTTGCCCACTCACCACTTTTAACCCTCAAAATAATGTATTCATATCATGTTGAATAACTAATGTCACACATAAATATAAGTCAATTCAACATATTATTATGTTGTTATTTCAAAACTGGCATGAGAAAATTCATCAATTATTTCATATCTTGCTATTACTTAGTCAACAGATTTAATACAATGGAAGTATAGTATGATATCATTCAAAGCAATGTCGAATGTGTGTAAGGAACAGAGAACATTTGTATCTTTGTCGTTAATCGGTATCTCCAATTTTTTGGGCTAAATTTTTGTGCGACATTAGTTAGTCAGCAGTATGTGAATTCTTTTTTTTTGATGGTGAGGGTGGTGAGTGTGATTTTATTTATTTATTTTTATGTATAGAGGTCTCGGTCGACGTAAAGTGGCTACACGTCGACCGGTTGGGGGATTTTGGTCGACGTCTCGTCTTTTGTATCGACCGGTATCTCCAATTTTTTAGGCTACATTTATGTGTGATATTAGTGATTTAGTACTATGTGAATATCTTATTTTGATAGTGAAGGTAATGAATGTGCTAATTAATATTAAACTTTGCTATGTATTTTTTTTTTCATAAATATCAAATAATAACATGTGAAATGTGTAATTGCTGCATACATTTAATACCAAAAATTTTCAATAACACATTGGTACCTGAAGCTAACTTAGTTCAAAGAATCAATTATGGAAGATTTCAGATTCACTAGAATGCTTATTGAAGATTATAGAATAAAACCCTACAAATAACCCTCCAATGTCAATTTCAAGTGAAAATATCATAATTTACAGTAACAGATGACAAAAGAAAGAATCATGATTTCAGTTCTAAATCTGCAATGTTAAGTTAAAAACAAAAGTTTCACCGTATTTTGAACAATAAATGAATAATACTATTAAATGCATAATATTAATAACATTTATTAAGCCTTACCAACCATCAAACGTGCAAAATTATAGATACCAACTCAGGTCCATTGTAAATTTCTTTCCTGTAGATGTAGAGTAGAATCTTATTGAAGAAATCAGCAATTTTTGGAAGGAAAGCATTGCCAATTTTGGAAAGTTATAAATCTCAAATTATGAAGGAAGTAAGATATATTTCCAATTTGGTAACATGTACTGTTAACTGAATCTAATGACCATCGAGATATGATTCAAAGAAGGAATTGCAAAGTAAAAATGCAAGCTGGGTTTTGATTCAAAAAAGGAAATAAAAAAGTAAAAATAAAGGATTTTCATGGAACGGAAAGGATGGAGGAATTAGGGTTTTGAATAAAAAATGAATTAAAAAGTAATATAAGGAGAGACAAATTAGGGTTTGGAATAAAATAGTTAAAAAATAAATAATGGAAGAAAACGAAAAGGGAAAGAGAGAAATAAGAAAATGAAAAGGGAAGAAGGGAAAGATGAAAGAGAAGAAGGCCCCAATTTGTTGTTTTTCAACTTTCTTTTTTTTAGTTGGCATCAGGAGCTCACCTAGGCAGGGTCCCTTCGGGACCCACCCTAAACTACAAACCTGGGGGTGTAAGAGTCTCGCCTCAAGGATAACACCGGGTGAGTCGGAGGACAAGGAAGGCTTGGGAGGAGTCGAACTTGGGCCGTTGGTGTGGCAGGCCGAGCTCCTACCATCACTGTCCCGCCTCTGGGGGCAAGTTAATTTCACTGTTCTATTACTTGCCTTTTTTTTTTTATTGTGCCAAGCCAAACAAGGCATTAAGGAGCTCACTGCTGGGGTCACATGGGAATCCACTTCAGAAGATTCGCGCCCTAAATCTACTTAACTTTGAATCGTATTACCCATCTTGCGCACTTCAGTTTTTTCCACCGAGAGACATTTATTCGCAATTTTGGCTGCAACAGCATCAGTCGTCAACCGAAGAGAAACATTAAGAACACGAACCAAAAACTTGCCCGTTAAACAACTTGTCATCTAATATGCTGTCTCTCCTCGACATTTGGAATCACAAAGTGAAAGATATTGCCTTTTAAGTTTGCACATCTATAGATGTCCACAATTCCTAGCAGAATAGACACATGGATCGAAAAAATTATGACTATGCTTATCAATAGAACACTAGGAAAACCCATATACGAAGTAGAATTTTTTGTTGCGGTCGGAAAAAGCAGCCCCATTCCTATTAACATAGGAATTGGAAGTGGAATCAAGCTATGATCCACGATGTGTTTTAGAATTTTCTATTCTTACTTATTATGTGTCTTTTCTAAATACTTCAAATATTCAAATCAAAAAACTTAAAATATTCAAATATAAAAATTAGGGTTAAATGCAAAAAACCCCCCTGAACTATTGGGGTTTTGCAAGAAACCCCCCTAAACTACAAAAAACCCCCCAAACTATTATTTTGTTGCAATTCACCCCATCAGGTCACCGGAAAAGGAAAAAGACAATTCCGCCCTTACTATGACCTAGGATAGTGCTACACTAGTAGCCAAACAGAGTACTGGGATATATTATACATATATATGGTATATCATATATGCCTCTGCAAACCCAGAAGGGGAAAGTACTGCAGCCACGAGGACGACGATAAGGATCGGCCGGAGGAACGGCGGTGAGCTCGGCTGGTTCATCTCTTCATTCGCGAATTGGTGGGTCGCTTCAGCTCTCCGATGCAAGTCATCTAAAACTTGGGGTAGCCGGAGTTAATCTCTGAAGGTTCTGGGTCTGTCTCAAACGCAATCTTGCGGTTCCCTAAAGCTTTTCCGATAAAGGTCGTTGAAGCTTCTCTGATAAAGGTCGCTGAAGCTTTTCTGATTGATTGAATGTTGATGCTCTTCAGGTTTAGTCGCCGTCTATATGGAGGTATCAGTTGGGTCTTCAATGGAACTCTAGTTCAGTTCATACAGCTTCGATTCGGAGCTCACCGGCTTCAATGGACGCTGCTGCTGCTCGGAGCTCGCCGGAATGGATGGGTCGTTGTAACTCTGCACATGTCTTCATCTTGGGTTGGGCCGGTGATACTCAGAGCTTCCCACCGATGGCCATAGAGTTTGAAGCCGGGTATGGAAAAATCAATATCTGGCAGTGGTTTGTTTATTGGAGGCTTGGAGCTGTTGCAATCTGATATGGGTATGATTGTGGGTGTAGGAACAAAACAAACCCAGTACAAATTATTAAAAAAAATAAGAAAATAAATAAATTTAAACAAACCTCTTCAACTTTGTTGTTTTAAACAAACCCAGTACATATTGTTAGAAAGATTTCAAAAAATTCAACTTTTTAAGTATTTGATTGGACTGGTATAGACCATTTAATCGATCAGCAGATTCATCACAATAGAAAAAAATTTGTAAGCTTTAATGGAGAAGTTGAATTGGTTATAATACAACATTAGAATTTTTATATATATATATATATATATATATATATATATATATATATATAATATCAATGAACTGTAACCCAACAGCTAATTAGAACTTTGATCCTTTAGATGATATGGAGGTCACTTTGACTCAAATCATGTAGTGTAAAAACACAATGTTGATGAGTCCTTGTAAACCCAGTTCTCAAATTGAGGGTTTGAAAACTGTATGCTCTCTTGTTTCCTCCTTAAATTCGTAGTGCAGGCATCACAGGGAAAGAAACTTACTACCATCTTGCAGTTGGGTTTGATGAAGAAGATAAACAGTGTTTGTAACTCTCTCTCTCTACGTGTAATATATATAAAGTGACGAGGGTGTGTTTGGGTAATTGGGTGTAACAGTAAACTAAGGGTGTGTTTGGGTGTAATGTTCATAATAAGGGTAATATAGTCTTTTATGCTCATAAGGGCATTATGGCCATTAGGTATATATTGTGTGATCACGTGACTGCATGTGATGGTTTTAACGGCGAAATTCAACCGGCCAGTCGCCGGATGGAGCTATCTGCAACAAAAATTATAGTTCGAGGGGGTTTTTTGAAAATTTTGAAGTTCAGGGGGGTTTATTGCTTATTGGCTAATAGTTCAAGGGAGTTTTTTGCATTTAACCCTAAAAATTATAATTGGTCAAATAAATTACTAGTAAAAAGTGAATACTTAGTTCTTAATTAAGATATTTATGAAGATATGAAAAATTTACAATTTTTAGTATTATTACAAAAATTTGTCTCCCATAGAGTAAGGATGAAGAATTACACCCAAAAAAAGGTCTTTGATTCTGATATTAATCATAGGATCAGCTAAGATCAAGAACTTGGCTTCTTTGAATATACATCTTTTTTTTGATAGAGCAGGGTGTTTACTGTCATTTGCCTCATTTTAACTACCCGCACACGATAACAACAGAAAGTGGTCATCAGCGCGCGTCAGCAACATATGGATTAGCAACGCCAAACATTATTGTTTCTCCCGTCATTTCATATCTCTTCTCCTTCATCCGCTATCTTCAACACACATTCTTCACTCTCACTCTCTTGTACTCCACTTCTCTCTCTAGACTTCCCATGGATGTGAGGCTGTCTTCAAATTCCCAAGCTCTGTCATTGATTTCTTGGACTCCACTCTCTTCTACTTCACCTTATTCGCTTTCTCGTTCCAGAGTTCGTTCCCTCCGCAGAGAATTTCTCGGCTGTGGCCGCAATCTGAGGCCACCAGGTCTTCGATCCCGAAGAAAATGCAAGAAACTAGGGTTTCACATTCACTCTCCACGGTTTCTCTTCAAAGCCTCCTTCGACTTGCAGTCAATTGTTGTGGTTGTCGCGGTGGTCACCGTTTCAGCCCTCACCATCGTCTATCTGAATTATTTCAAGATAAAGAAAGTCGGAGAGGTGATTGAGAATTGTAATCGCTCTCAATATATATTGCTGTTGTTTTAGAAAATGAGATTAATTTCTATTTTTATTAGTATATGGTTTTGGTGTTTTAAATTTAACTGATGTTGGGGTGACCTTTTCGTTGTTGTTTCAAATCCTGGAATTAAGTTTTGGATTGTAAATTAGTAGGATTTTCTATTGATTGATTATGCTAGATAGCCACAAAGATTTATCGTTTAGGGAAAATTGCAACAACTTGGACTTTTGGAGGCATATTTTACACTGACATGGAGTCAAAAATATTTTTGATCCCTATAATAGACTATTTAAGAACAATACAGGATATTGCACAAATTTTTCAGCTCGTTGTTCCCTTTTTCATTTGCACCAGTCCATAATTTTATTTACAAATGTAGGTATTGGTGCAAAACTTTTTTAGTACATCAGTTAGGCATGGTTACGTAATCTTGTGCGCACAATTATGCACTGGTGTATAATGTCATGCAACGATGCCTAATTTAATTCACAAAATTATGCACTGATGTGTAATTTTATGCACAGGTACATATATACAATTTATACTGCACACGTACCACTTTAGAGCAAAATGTGTACCAAAAAACTTATGCAACCAGTGCTAAATTTTGTGAAGAAAATAATGCACCAGTGCAAATGGTGCATTTTGGTAATTTTAATCAAAGCAGAAAGTGCAAGATGGGGAGAGAAAGTATGTGAACATTTTTTTTTTTCCTAGTTGGGTACTCACACACACACGCCTCCACGGAGGCTCGAACCCTTGACCTCTCTTTGAGAAGTAAGGGCTTGGTACCGCTAGGCCACTGGCCTGTTGGTACAAAAGTATGTGAACATTATTTTTCCACCTCATTATAATTATATTTCAAAAGAACATTTTAGGGAAAAATCCTCTTTTCTAATTCCGTCTCAATGTAAATATTCCTCCAAAAGTCCATGCTACTGGAATTTTTCTTCTGATTATGTGTTGTTCAATACTCTAGTGTTGAGGACTAGTACAACAACAACAGTTAATGAAGCTTTTTCCCAACTACTTGGAGTTGGCGACATGAATCCTTTTCTTCCATTCTGCTATATCTAAGGCCATAGCCTTAGTCAAACCACATTCAACTTTTGTCTTCTGCTTCACCTAACATTACTTTCAATGTGAATCATATCAGTCTTCCTAACCAACGTACTTAAAGGTTTCTTGTGCACATGTCTAAACCATCTTAACCAGTTTTTTCTCATTTTATCTCCAATTAGTGCTACTTCAACCATGTCACGAATGGGTTCATTTCAAATTCTATTTTTCTTGTCTTATACACATCCATCTCAACATTCGCTTTTTCAAATTTTCACCACACTCACTTTATGCCTATATTGTTTCCCAACTGTCCAACATTTTATCCCATAGAGTACAGCTGCTCTAATAGCTGTTTTATAGAACTTACCTTTCAGTCTTAATAGAATATGTCGACCACAAAGTATACTAGATATACTCCTCCATTTAACCCATCCTACCTGCCTTGATTCTATGATTAACATCATATCTAATTTCTCAGTCATTATGGGATAATTGAGCCTAATTAGAGAAAATGTTCACTTTTTTGTTCTTCTTCATACTCAATATTCACTACATTCTCATTTGTTTTTCTAGATTTACTAAAATTACGCTCCATGTATATAATTTTACTTATCTGAAAACTTTCTAATGATAGAGCTTCCCTCCAAACCTCCAACTTGGCATTGACTCCTTTAGTCTCACCAATTAAAACAATATCATCAACAATGTTAGAGGGCTAGTTTTATCATAGATTTTCCTATTCTTCATCCTCTCTGTTTCCATTTTTTTTTTTTTTTTTTTTTTTTTTTGTGGTGTGTGTGTTGACTCTCTTATCTAAATGGACTGTAAAAGAAAAAATGATGCCATTCTGTTGAGTGTGGGTGGGTGTGGAGCATTAAGATGAGATTTATAAAATAAAATATTTGAAATATCCAATTTGAATTTTAGGCCTTCTCTACCTTCTAATGTAAATCGTTTCAACATAAAAGGTTTGGATTTTGAATCCATTCATGTTAAAACATTGAAAGGAAGTTCAGATCTTTCTACTGTCTCCCAACTTTAACATTGTATATGATTCTAGGTTTGATAAGATAATATAGAATATAGGGGATTTATGTTGGTACACGTCAGTGAACTTATGCTAGAACCAACTCTCTAATGCTTGTGAAATTTTTTGTAGATGTCAGGTCCATCAATTCTTGCATTGACTGAACGAATCAGAGGTCTCATGAATCGGGGTAATGTGCATCAAACTTGTGTTACTGGGGATCTTGAGTGGCAGATGTCCGTCACTGAGAGCAGAGATTTGATGAAGGCAACAGAAACTGGTCATGCTTCTGAGAATGAATTGGTTCAGCTGCAGGAGGAATCTGTTTTGATGCATGACGAAAATCTCATCACTAACACACTAGAGTCTCATGGTATTGATATCAGTGCATATAGTGCTAGTGATTCTTTGTCCTCGAGAGATTCTAAAGTTACGAGCCTATCTTTTCCCCCTTCTGTTCTTTCTGAATCAGGAACACTTCAATCAGTTAATTTTGTGACAGAAATGCCTGAATTGGAGTTTGAAGTATGTGGACAGGACCCTGAGTCACATTCTAACTTGCAGAAGCTAATGGCTAGAGAGAAATTGACTGTTGCTTCTACTCCAATGCGTACTGCACTTAAAGAAGTGAATGAACATAATAAATCAACTCTTGAACTTGGCAAAGGGAGTGAAACAATTAGATCTGTTAGCATCCTTAAAGACTCTGTCCGAGAAGAGCTTTATATGTATTATGAGGCAAATCAGTCTGCAATGAAGTCTATAGCAAATTTGAATGGATCAAACACGTTATCTTCTCACACATCTGTTCGAGTTAGCAAAGCCATTTCAGTGCTTAGGAGTTCCACAACTGAAGGAGCAAAATTATTGGCAAAGGAGTTTCTTTACACTGCAGGTTATGCCATATAAAATATTTAATGGTGTTATCTAATTATAATCTATGTTATAATTTAGCATATCCTTTTGCAGCAGGGAGTTCAGGATATTTGATTTTCTACTTACTGACTCAATATAAAGGATTCTTGTTCATTCAGAGAATTTCAAAGGAAAAACACCTCTTGGACTATATAAAGAAGGATATCCACATGAAAGAAAAGATTTGGGAAAAAGCAGGGGATTTTCCAGAGACAAAGGAAATAGAATCCTTCCTCAGAATGGACACAGAAATTTTCCCCACTCCCCTCATCCAAATGGGAAGGATGTTGATGACACACATAATCTTGCACGGAAGTTCAGTGCTTACAATCGTTTTTTAAGAAATGGGAGGTAACTCTTTCACATTTACTTTTTGACATATTATGAGCTCGTTACCTTGATATGAAACTTGATGGAAGAGATCTGTGCTTCTAGTTAAGTTTGATCTGAAGTGAATAACGTGTCAAGCAATATTTTCTAGTATGTGTAATTGGGTGCTGATATATTGTAATGCTGTGTGGTTACTTATTGTGGTTTTTTTTTTGTTGTTAAATGTTTTGATCTTATCCTTTTAAATTGGGTTCTAGATTGATTGACTGTGTTGAATTGCTTGAAGATATGGAAAGAAAGGGTTTGTTGGATATGGATAAGGTAAGGCTATCTCTTAACCTCTTACTTAATGTGAACTTTAGTTATTATGTCATTATTTGTAATCTATCAAATACTATGGTTTCAGGTTTATCACGCAGGGTTTTTCAAAGTCTGCAAAACTCAAAAGGCTGTTAAAGAAGCTTTTCGTTTCATTAAGCTTATCCAAAATCCAACCCTAAGTACATTCAATATGCTATTGTCTGTCTGTGCAATCTCTCAAGATTCAGAGGGTAGTTTATATTTTCATGCTCCATATTTGATTCCCATGGATACCTTATCAAGATATCCTTTGTTGTCTACCATCATGCTTCAAATATCTGATCTATATATAGTGTTTTTATTTAGGAGCTTTCCAAGTTCTACATCTTGTCCAGGAGGCTGGTCTAAAAGCTGATTGCAAACTTTACACTACACTTGTATCAACTTGTGCAAAATGCGGAAAAGTTGATACAATGTTTAAGGTATGGTCACTGCCTTTCTATTTTCTCATTGTTCTGAAGCTATTAATACTTTGGGTATATGACTGAGGTTTCCTTGCTAGCTGGACTTCATTTTTAACAACCTTGTGAAGCACCTGTCATGTACTCTAATTCTTCTGACCTTAAATTTTATACAGACACACTTAGGTATATATGGTGAGTTACAATTTAGAGTGTTGATTATTAGCCTAGGGAGACTGCCCTTCCTCTATTGTGAGTTCATCAAATCCATATCGGTAATAAAATTTGAGAACTCTCTCATTACCATCAAAATCCTCCAACACCCTAGTGCTTTTAGACTCTTTACAGGAAAAGTGGACTTGAAATCTCCCAGCCATCCAATATGTTCAATAAGGCTTTGTTGGGCAAATGGCTTTGGAGATTTGGGGGTGAGAGGACAAAATTATGGAGGCGTGCCATCTCCTGTAAATTCGGGGAGGGAGATGGAGGGTGGCTAACTAGGGAGGCGAGAATTCCAGTGAGTATGGGATATTGGAAACTTATTCGGAAGGGCTGGGATGAGTTCTCCTAACGTATCCGGTAGAGTTAGGAGTGGGAGGCACATCAGCTGTTGGGAGGACCGATGGAGATCCGAGACGAGAACCAAAAATGGCTCTGATGAAAAGAGAGAAACGAACATAGAACCTTGCCAGCTTTGATACAATGTTGAAAGGATATACGTGGTTCAGCCTCTAAGGCTTACATCCACGGTACACAAAGCCCAAAGGGCTGCACATCTTCTATTATAATAATCTCTCTTTTCATACAGAATACAATGGTGAAAACTCCTCTATATAGGAGAAGAAATGGTGAAAATGGAAAGAGATTGAAAATAGGAAACAACATAAATACTGAAAGTTTTTTTCTCCACTAATTCCTCCAATATTTTCAATATCAGGAAACATCAGTACTGGAGGATTTTCCTCCATTGATTCCTCCAATAACAATAACAGTAAATCTTCAACAGATATGATGGTGTGGGAGGGATCCTTGAGAGGGGATTTTGAGGTTAGATCCTTTTGTCAAAGTCTTATGGAGATCCCTGGCCCCTCTTTCCCTTGGAGAGCTGTTTGGAAGACGAAAGCGCCTTTGAAGGTGGCTTTTTTTTTGCATGGTCTGCTGCCCTTGGAAGCATTCTCACTCTCGACAACTTCAGAAACTGGTGTTGCATGTGTAAGAGGTCGGGGGAATCTATGAATCACCTTTTGCTTCACTGCCCCGTGGTGAGGGATATTTGGGCTATGTTCTTGGTTGCTTTTGGTGTGGCTTGGGTGTTTCCTGAGTCAACAGTTGGTTTTTTAGAGGCTTGGGAAGGGTGTATAGTGGAGAGCCAAGTCAGAGATGCTTGGAGGGCCACTCCCTTTGTATTGGTGGGGCTTGTGGCGTGAGAAATAGGGGATCCTTTGAGGGGGAGGAGTCTCCTATTTGGTCTCTCAAATACAATACTCTGTCTTCTTTGTTCTTTTGGTTAATGGGTGTAATTGTATATCTATAGATTGTCTTTTGGATTTTGTGGATAGCTTAAAGTTGTTGTGTCGCTGTTAGGTGGCTTCTTGTTCCTTTGGGAGCGCTCCCCTTATGAGTGCGTTTAATGAAATCTTACTTATCAAAAAAAAAAAAAAAAAAAAAAAAAAAAAAATCTCCTAGCCATCCAGGGAAAAGATCAATGAGCTTGATCCACCACAAGCTACCCCCACAAAGTTCTGTTATCCATTATCTCTTACCAGCCCATTGATTTCGATAGACCCCAAAAGACATCTAGTGGAAGCTGTCCTCATTGTTCTTCAGTCAGCGTGAATTGAGATACTCCTTGTCACATAATCAACCAGACTGCAAGAGAGCTGTCCTACACAACCAAGATTTTCCGTTTTATGCTTGGCTCCTCTTAACATCCACTCCATCCATCTATTTCCCTGAATACTACACAACACCTCCCTAGACATATTTTTCATTTTGTTCTCCTAAATACTCTCCACTTTGCACCTTCTCGGCATAGATTTTACAATAGTCTTTTAATGGGGTTTAAATAGCCATAAATTCCATGAAACAGTTCTCTACTTTATTGGAAACGTAATTCTCCCACTCTCTTTCTTGTTAGAAGACTCCCCCCGGACCTCCCCCTTCCTTTTCCATTTTCTACTTGGAGGAAGGCCGGTTTTTCACACCCTTTGTTTTCTCGATCTTGATCCCAAGCCTTATTATTTTTTACTTTTTCTTTTCTTCCCTCAAGGTGCCACCTTTTCTCAATCACACTTATCAGGTGAAATTTTTTCTTTCAACCCTTTACAGGATACCCCTAACACTTGTTAAACCCTCTATCTTCCCCTTTACCTACAGCAACCCTTCCTCTTTTACCCTTCCAATCCCGAAAATTCCCCTTCTGAACAAAGATCATCAAGGAGCATAGTGATGGAATTGCATTTCCCATAAGGGACAATCATTAAAGTCCCTGGGCACCAGAGGATACATGGCGCTGTTCTCCTCTCATTCATCATCTTTCCCTGTCATTGCCCATTTTTGCCCATCTCCTCTGCTGAACACTAGTATAGTTGGAAGCAACTATAGTGCAGGCTGGTTGCCAATCACATCTTTCCTGCTACCATCTCTAATAATATCATTTGTATTCCTTTTACGTACTTGACAGATTGTTGAGTCCATGCTGCCATTAGACACACTCCTGTGCCACCTACAATCAATCTACAGCTCCCTGGTCTTCCAAAATCTACCTGGCTCGATTCGCCCTTCTTCAAAGTCTAACTTCGCCAACACCCATACAAACAGACATCCAATTGGTCTGAAACCACTTTAGTCACTCATGCTGTTGCTCAAGCCATCTCCTTGATGTTAGCTGGCTTGTCACTTGTCAGCCTAAATGCCAGACCTGGAAATCAATAGCTCAGTCTTCTTCACTAACAGGGTGAAATAAGTCCAAGTGACATCCAGGTCAAGAGAAGGAAAAATGGAGTTGCCGGGTCACCAAAGAATGACGTGTTCATGAGGCAGAACTGGGGAAACTGTATTGGAAAAAGGGTGTTTGCATTACGTTATGCAGGTATTACATGCGCCACCCAAAATGCCAGACCTGGAAATCAATAGCTCAGTCTTCTTCACTAACATGGTGAAATAGGTCCTAGTGACATCCAGGTCCAGAGAAGGAAAAATGGAGTTGCCGGGTCACCAAAGAATGATGTGTTCATGAGGCAGAACTGGGGAAACTATATTGGAAAAAGGGTGTTTGCATTAGGTTATGTAAGTATTATATGCGCCACCCAAAATGCCTTCTTGGTCGAGGGGAATTCTCGAAGTGACTGCACTAATCTTGGTGGGTATTTGACCCACGGTGTAGCACTAGGGGCAGCCCCTAGATCATGACATACCCAAGTGCTTCGTCATGCAACTCAGCATGTTGGGGGTAGTTTCACACCTCTGCGAACTTCATCAAAGATGGAATTAGGGGAATGTCAGCGACTCAGCCCTAGAGAAAAGAACTTCATTTCATGTTATAACTAAAAGTAACTTGGTAAAATTAGCGTACTCAATTTGAGAGCCTGACTATCATTATATACAAGAAAAAAATTACAAATATTGAAAAGAGAATAAAATCAAATCAGAATAAAAATAAAATCCCTAAACATTAGCATATAATGAAGACCCAATAAATCTGCCACAATCATTGAGTCAACTTATAGATATGATTTCCAACACTCCCCCCCAAGCTGGTGCAAATATGTTGACGAAGCCCAGCTTGACTATGGAAGACTGGAGAAAAGAAGGCCAAACAGACTTTGTGAACACATTTGCAGTCTATTCTGAAGAGGGAACAAAAATAGGATTAATGATACCTGATCGAACCTTCTCTTGAATAAAGTGAATGTCTACCTCAATATGTTTCGACCTTTCATGTAAAACAGAATCGGAAGTAAGCATAATGGCTGATTTATTGTCATAAAACAGTCTTGAAGAACCTTTCTCTACAAGACCCAACTCTCCCAAAATTGATTGAAGCCAAAGGAGCTCACAAGTACCTTGAGCCATAGCTCGGTATTCAGCTTCAGTAGAGGATTTGGAGACAACAGCTTACTTCTTACTCTTCCATGATATGAGATGATTACCATAGAAAGTACAGAAGCCAGAGGTAGAACGTCTATCTGTCTTACATCCAGCATAGTCTGCATCAGTAAAGCATGAGAGTCCAGACTTATTTCCTGAGGCATAGAACAGACCAAGACCAGGGCATGACTTAAGATACCTCAAAATATGGTAGACTGCATCCATATGAGCTGAGCGAGGGGCATGCATGAATTGACTAAACACACTAACAGAAAATGTCAAATCGGGCCTTGTATTAGTCAAGTAGATAAGACGACCTATTAAACGTTGATACACGGATGGATCTGGAAGTAATTCCCCTGACTCAACAGAGAGTTTGAGATTGGAGTCCATAGGAGTAGAAGCGAGTCGACACCCAAGCATGCCAGTATCTTGAAGAAGATCCAAAACATATTTCCTTTAAGATAAATAAATTCCACGATGGGATCTAGCAACCTCAATTCTAAGAAAATATTAAAGAGGACCTAAGTCCTTCACATCAAAGGACTTTTGAAGATGAAGTTTCGCCTGAGCAATCCCTGAAGCATCATCACCTGTGATAATGATATCATCCACATATACCAATAACATAATGCAGCGACCATCATAGCGACGTTGAATAAAGCAAGTATGGTCTGAATGGCAGCGCACAAAGCCCATGGATAGAACAACATCGCTGAAATGACTAAACCAAGCTCTAGGAGATTGCTTCAGACCATAAAGAGACTTCCGCAGCTGGCAGACTTTCCTAGCATACTCCCCCTCAGCCCGAAATCCAGGGGGTGGATCCATATATATAGTCTCAAGTAAGTCTCCATTAAGAAATGCATTCTTGACATCTAACTGATGCAGAGGCTAAGAATGGGCCGCAGACAAGGAGATAAGCAATCGCACAGACGTCAACTTTGCCACAGGAGCAAAGGTAGCACCAAAAGGCAAAATCTTTGCCCGGAATCTGAGTAACGCCTTTTGCTACCAACCGAGCCTTATACCGATCAATAGAACCATCGGCTAAGTACTTCACATTAAAGACCCATTTGTAGCCAACTGTTTTCTCCCCAGCAGGTAAAGCAACAAGTTCCCATGTATTATTATGTTGTAAAGCATCCATTTCTGTTGTCATGGCAGACACCCAATTGGGATCCTGGAGGGCCTCTGACACTGATTGAGGAATAGAAACGGTCCCAATCTTGCCCAGGAAGGATTTATATGCACTTGAAAGACCGTCATAGGAGATATATTGGGAAATAGGGTGGTTAGTGCTACTAGAGAAACCATACCAATTAGGAGGGTGACGATCACGGGTAGGATAACGGGAGGTATGCTCAGGAATGGTAGGAGCCATAGGAGAATGAGAGTTACCTGAACCTGGTTCTGAAGATGATTCTGGCAGGGGAGGTTGAGTGCGATGGCGACGAGATTAGACCTGCAAAGGTGGAGGGAAACCCTGCATGGACGGAGAAGGAGATTCCGGGACAGTGTGATTTCTAAAGAGAGGAACAGGACGGGCAATAGGAGAAATCTCCTTCTCCAGACCACAAGAGAGAGAATCCTGTACCACAGAATTAGTACTATAAGAAGGAACAGTTTCATGAAATGTCACATCAAGAGAATGATACATATGTTTGGCCACAGGATCATAACAACGATAGCCCTTTGATATAGCAGAATACCCCAAGAAAATACACCTAATTGATTTATCAACAAGTTTATGACGAGAAGGACTACGGTTATAAACAAAAAAAGTACAGCCAAAAATACAAGGCAGAAGGTGAAACAATGTATAATCAAGCTGGAGAATCTGAAGTGGGGCCTTACCACCGAAAACTCGACTGGGAGTACGATTAATCAGAAAAGCAGCTGTAAGAACAGCCATGTGCCAATAGAATTTAGGCACATGCATACCACTCAAAAGACATCGGACGATAGACATAAGATGACGGTTTTTGCGTTCAGCCACGCCATTCTGCTCAGGAGTGTAGGGGCAAGTGAGTTGATGTAAAATCCCCTTTTTATTAAGTTCAGTCTGGAACTCATTTGAAACATATTCACGTCCATTATCAGAACGAATATGGCGGACAACAGTGTTATACTGGGTTTTGATCATTTGAAGAAACTGGGTAAATAAAAGAAACACATCAGATTTCTTTTTCAATAAATAAACCCAAGAACAACGAGAATAATCATCAATAAATGTCACATAATATCGATGTCCAGAGAAAGCAGTAACTGGGGAAGGGCCCAGACATCAGAATGAATAAGATCAAACATACTAGGAGCACAACTCATATGAGAAATATAGCTAGTTCTAGTATGTTTAGAAAGCTCACAAAATTCACATTAAAACTTATGGTCCTTACATGCTTTATTTAACGAAGGAAACAATAGACATAGATACTGAAAGCTTACATGTCCCAAACGTTTATGCCACGGACTAAAAGTGCGAAAAGAAACATTATAAACACTAGAAGTAGGTAGGACAGAAGCTTGAAGACTTGTTCCTGGTGGTTCCCCAAAGTAGTAAAGCCGATCACGCTTATAACCCCTGCCAAAAATCCTCTTCGAACAAAGGTCCTGCAACAAACATTGATCTGGTAAGAATATAACTGCACATTGGAGGTTTTTTGCAAGCCGGCTAACAGATAAAAGGTTAAAGGCAGATTTAGGTACATGAAGGACAGCTGAAAGAGTAGTATCAGGAGATAGACAAACATTACCCTTACTGTGAATGTAAGATGTAGAGCCATTCGTAAGATACACAGATTAGGTAACAGGTATGACATTGGAAGAAAAAGTTGATAACTCACCAGTCATGTGATCATTGGCCCCAGAATCCAGAACCCAAGTGGGCTGCTTGGCCTTAACATGAATGCAGTAGGAGTACTTGTAGCAATAGTGGCAGTGGGATCAGTTGAAGGAGCACCAACTCTAGAAGTAAGGGAGCCAAGCTGGTCCTGGATCTGCCCAATTTGAGACTGAAGCTGGCTCAGTCCAGGAAATACAGTAGATCCACCAGTAGTAACAAGAGTCTCTGCAACAGCCGCAGTACGAGAAGAACTAGTTCCAGATAAACGGTTCCTAGAAAACTTCTGCTTCAGCTCAGGATGAAGTTTGAAGCAACGAGCCTTAACATGTCCAACCCCTCCACAATGGTGACAAATAATCTAATCTCTAGAAGCACGTGATCCAAAATTGGCTGCAAAAGCCATACTATCCCCAGCAGGCTCAGACACTGGTAACAAGTGAGGGCTGAATTAAACGGTGCTTGCGTGCTTCACCATCAACAGTAGCAAAGGCTTCCAATAGGGATGGCATTGGTGATGTATTCAAGATCTGAGACTTTAGTGGTTCAAATTCTAGGTGTAATCCCATAAAAAACTGATAGGTATGCTGACGATCAAGACGTTTGACAAGAAGATAGGCTGCCTCGGAAGGAAATTCACTGAGAGGCTCATATTAAGCTAGTTCCTCCCAACAAGATCTCAAATACCGAAAGTAATCAGTTACAGACAAATTTAGGCCTTCCTGCAAGGCCTTAGCAATATCTTGGTATAATTCAAAAATACGAGCATGATTCCTAGAATGAGCATACATTTGATTCAAAGCAGTCAACAAGTCATTAACAGAGTCATAAAACATGAATATATTATAAATGCGTTCCTCCATAGAATTAAACATCCATCCTAAAATGGTGCAATTGTCTATATCCCACTGAGCATATTTAGGATCTTTAATATCTGGCATCTTTTCAGTACCCAAAATGCACCCTAATTTGCCTTTTCCACCAACATAGAGGCGGAGGGAACGAGCCCAGGATGCAAAATTACGGCCATTCAGAGTCGGTGTGTGTTGCGCCGAAAAGAGAGTTTCTTTATTATTACTTGATTTAGCCATAACATTAAATAGAACAATTCAACAGATCACCAATAATTTAAATAAAGGAGGAATAAACCTGATTTTGATCAAACCAAGAAGCCGGAGACACGGCGGTTTTGATTCGAAAATGCTGCCGAATATCCCGGCAGCCCCAAAAAATTACAAACACGTCTTCTGACCCTTAGTGCATGAAAAAGACTAAGGGAATACCCCTACAGGGGTCGAACCTAGAGGAGATTGGCTCCCCCTAGGACTGTCGCAACTGCGGCCTGAAGAAAAGAGAGTGTCTGTGAAGAAAAGGGAAAAAGAAATAAGGAACGGGCTGTGACGATATAGAGAGAGAGATCAAAAGAGGCGGTGAAAGAGAGAGAGGGGGGGGGGGGGGGGGGGGGGGGGGGGGAGGCGTAGGTTTGAGGCTCTGATACCAAAAAGTAACTTGGTAAAATTGGCATACTCAATTTGAGAGCCTGACTATCATTATATACAAGAGGAAAATTGCAAATATGGAAAAGAGAATCAAATCAAATCAGAATAAAGAGAATAAAATAAAATTAAAATAGAAATAAAATCCCTAAACATTAGCCTATAATGAAGACCCAATAAATCTGCCACAATCATTGAGTCAACTTATAGATATGATTTCCAACATAACTTATAACCCATACGTGGTATAGTTGTGATTAGACTTGTGCCACTTTGAATAATATTATCCCTGGTTAATAGAAGTGATGTAAAATGTGGTACAACACGGGTTGAATAATTACCCAGGGATAAGTTGCCTACAATGGCTTAAGTCAGGTGTCATAGTGTTGCGTGCGTAGTGCTTTGACCATGGTGAATTTGGTGTGACCCCTCATGGTGTAGTGGCATGATCTGAAAGGGAAATTGGGTCCATGGAGACATGGTCGTTAAGTTAGGGGCAAGTCTAGATGAGATGAGAAAAAGGGTTAATTTGTTATAACAAAAAGGCAAACACAGTAAACCTTAGGGCTCTGTCCACACCTCAACCGGAGTGATGAAGAAAGGACACATGGTATGCACAGCATGCCTGCTGGATATTTTAGCTGTTAACATGTGTCGGAATGTGGTGCTGCATCAGCAAAGCATTTGAAATCTTCCATGCAATTAATATCCATATGCATCTCGGTCCTTTCCATCATTTGGTCCTAGTTTTCTTCCATCCTCAAGGTTTTTTAAGGATGCCCATCTATGGGAAGTTGTGAACCACTCTAATCTCCGTTCCATCTCCACCATCTCATATCTTCCACCCTTAAGGTTTGGACCAATGGTTTTGGCTCCCTTTGAAGCGCTTGGGAATACTTCCATCATAAGTACACATTTTTCTTCTGCTTTCCTCTCAATACTTGTTGACCTAATGAGCCTTTTTTTCTTACTCTTCCCTTTCCTGCATCCAGTCTCCCCTTCTGTTTTATGCACTATCTGATGCACATTTATTCTAACAACTTTAGCAGACCCCATTGCAATTGCCTCTTTTTGAAGTGGCCATCCTGCAAACAACTGTTAGACACCAACTTCTCTCGGCCCATTGACCACAGTACCAGCAAAATGAGAATAAAATACTTATTTAAACAGAACTGGTCTTCTTGTGTTTGACAAACCTGAATGCTAATGGAAATTGATTACATTTCTGATGTATTATTAATTGCAAATTTCAACGCCTGACATCATCTATTTCCTTTATGTTGCTTGAAACATTGGGCACAAATATTATTTTGAGTGTTACATATTCATTGAATTTTTTGAGATTTTCTCCCTAGGTATTTCATGAAATGGTCAACGCTGAAGTGGATCCTAATGTTCATACATATGGGGCACTTATCGATGGCTGTGCTAAAGCTGGGCAAGTTGCCAAGGCTTTCGGTGCTTATGGCATAATGAGGTCTAAGGTATGATTGTTTTAACAGGTTTCTTGTTCTCTCTCCATGACATATTTTATCTTTCAATTCCTGTTTTGTAGTTGTCAATGGTAGTGGGCCTAGTGGCAGAAACGATTGTCCTGGCTTGTATCATTTACTTTTGAGTTGAAATCTCAAATAAATCACCACCCTGATCAGATGTTATATGCAGTAGAACGTGAAGCCAGACAGAGTTGTATTTAATGCGCTTATCACTGCATGTGGTCAATCAGGAGCTGTGGATCGCGCTTTTGATGTATTAGCAGAAATGAGTGCTGAGACACAGCCTATAGAACCTGATCATGTCACTGTTGGTGCTTTGATAAAGGCATGTGCCAATGCCGGTCAGGTGAGTTTGTCTTGTTTACCACTCAAAAAGAGTTATCTTCGTTTTAGTTAGTTTACGATCTATTTCTGGTCAATCTTTCCTTGTTGATATCCTATTTTAACTAACAATGAACAATCCACTACTTTTAGGTTGATCGGGCTCGAGAAGTATATAATATGATTCATGAATATAACATCAAGGGCACTCCAGAGGTTTACACCATTGCTGTTAATAGTTGTAGCCACATTGGTGATTGGGAGTTTGCATGCCATGTCTATAGCGACATGACAAGAAAAGGTGTTGCCCCTGATGAGGTATCTATTGTTGACTGGAAATTTTGCTTTTTATTTTTTATTTGGGTAATAACCCTAGATTATTGGCAACACCTGTGAATGTACCAATTTTTTAGAACTTCTATTGACAAAAAATGATTTGAGATTTTAATGTGTTTTAAATTGTTGTGGTTATGACTTTCAAATTGTGTAGGTTTTGAAGAAGGGAGTTCTTCATGTTATCAGCTGTTTTAGGTGGTTTTATTGACATATTAAAGTGATTAGATGGTTAAAAAATACTCTATTTTTGGATGAAAATAATATTTTTCATCATGCTACATACTTTATATATATATATATATATATATATATTTTATTTTGATAATTATTATGCTACATACGTATTATGATTGTAATCTGTTAACCTTAGGTGAAAAGGCAAAAAGCTCCTTGAACTGTCAATATATATATATATATATATTTTCAGATAACTCTTTTGAACTATTTTTGAAAATAACTCCTTGAATTTATCTAATTTTTTTCAATTACTCCCCTTGTCAATTTGATGTTAAAGAATGAATGGAATTACTATTCACATGCTTGGCACCTGATACATATTTTGTCATGACTTATTTACCCTTTAAATAATAATAATTTCTTGACCTGAAAGAATGTCGATCCAAAACCCCTGTTATAAGACATAACTCACAAATATCTCTTTACAGCTTCTCTCTCTAATCTCTTCTCACTTTCTCATTGTATCTACGATGGATCCTCTTCTATCCTATTAATCTGCCCTTCCCCACCACCCAGATCATAGATTTTCCACCAACGTCAGAAATAATTTTATCACAACCTCCATGACCATACCATAATTAAGGGTTGCCGGCGTCACTGGGATTGTTGATTAAGTTGAAGATCCCTACCATTTGCTCTCAATTAGCATGCTGAATATGTAACATGGTGTTGGTTGATTTAGATTGAGTTAAAGTATGAGTTTGACTTAAATTGTAACTGGAATATCATGATTCTGAGAAATGGTGGTGGACACATTTCCTTTTAGAAGTAGGTTGCATTAGGTTGCCATGGGTTTGATCTGGCATGCGCACACACACACACACACTGAGATTGATTGCATTAACTATTTTATCAATATTCATAGTTCTAGAGAGAGAAAATAGAGAGGGACATAATATTATTTTGTTCGTTCATTTCATTTCACTGTATACCTGTCTCGTGGCTTCGATTATTGCAAATTGTATGGGCAGTGCCATCCAATATCCTAATGAAAGAATCATGTGTGTCCATGAGATGAACTTTCTGGTGGAAAATTACGTGGGTGAGTACGCTAGGCAGCGGTTTAACCTGAACTGCTGCCTGTTCTCAATTTGATCCTCAAACATAAAGGATAGATCGAGTCCTTGGATGACCTATCCCATGATGTTAATCTGATAAATTTTCGTTGAGCTAAGCTAACGTGATTTGTTGTTCTTTGACATTGAAGGCGACGAGATGTGATTATAAATGATTTGTTAACTGTTATATTGGAGGATTAGATCTGGTTTTCTACTGGGCATTCGTGCTCATTCACCCTAACATGTTGCATATATGCCTTGGATTTATGATGTGAGTTCATTTTGGATGTGTGGTGTCGCTAGAGACTCTGCTGGGAGGAAGAGGATGGGGTTGCTAGTAGTGAGTGAATCTGGGAAATTCCTCTTCCCTCCTCTCACCCAGTCACCCTTTTCGATGAGGATGAGAGATTTCTGAGAGTGAATCTGCCTGATACCCATGGGCCATAGTGCTTGATTTGTGAAATGGCAGGCATGGGATATTGGTCTATGGTGAGGTAACTGATGTATGACTGATTATCATTGATGATGTAATCTAAAAGTGAGGAAACTAATGTAATGATTGATTATTGATTGTATCTTGATGTGTTGTGGATGGTTTCTCTATTCTTGTCATAGAATGGCTCACAAGGAATTTTGGATTCTCCAAATTTGTGTAGTCTGGGACATCTAATCCTGACCTCTGAATCAGTATCGCACCTTGGTTTGGCAGGAGCTGGTCTGGGGTGTGACAAATTTATCATTTAAAAAGAAAGAAAAAATCCATTGGTCCATTATACACATTGCTGTAAATTCTTTCTTTATGTCATGTTATATGAGTACATTCTTTCTATATGTAGCCAGTGTAGCCGTTTAGTTACTTATTACTTCAGTAAAATGTCAATAGCACAGTTGTTTTTATTATTATTACTATGATTATAAAGATGACGAAGACAATGCTGATGTGCAGGTCTTTGCATTATATTGTACCTCTTACACCCAATTTATTTTTTCTAACATAGAGATTGCTTACTCAAATTCCTTATCTTTCTTGCAGATGTTTTTTAGTGCATTGATGGATGTAGCGGGGCATGCTAGAAAGCTGGATAGTGCCTTCGAAGTTCTACAAAAAGCAAGAAATCATGGAGTACATATTGGGATCGTATCATATAGCTCATTGATGGGGGCTTGTAGCAATGTATGTCTTATCTATCTAACTCTGCATCTGTATCTGTTTCATTTTTCTTGCTAAGGTGTTGGTAAAACAAATTCCAAATATCATGTTACCCTGGATTCCCATTAACCCCTTAAACATATTTTGTCCTTATATTATTGATGATCAAATTTTCCTGTTTTGTTTTGCACCAAGTTCTTGAGTACTCAATACCTTGCAGTTAGCATCTGAATCACTTTTGTTCATTTCCCTTTCTTTTTTGCTGGTACATTCTATGTTAAGAAGTTCAAAATGAAATTTAGAGAAGAGGGGAAGGGTGGTGGTTGATGTAATTGGAAATGCCAATAAAGTGACAATAAGTTCTTTTAACTTCTGCATATTAGAATGGCAGGGCTGAATGCCAAATATATTTGATCTTTATTCTTCTATGTCCCAGGTTAAAAATTATCTGCATAACACAGTGAATTTGATTAGTGTAGTCACTTATGTTGAAGTTCCTGCGCAAAGAATCATTTTGCACTCTTGGATGTGTTTGTCCATTATCGAGGGTGTCTGTATATTCTGTACCATTATTGTGTTGTGTCTAGAATCAGAACTTCAAAATATAAAGTGCCCATTCAACATAGAGGGTTGTTTTCAACATATTATTAGGAAAATAACATTAGGTCTTCTTTCCTTTTCTGTGTCTCAAATCTCAATTTGTATATATGGGCTGTTTTATCGTGTTCATGGCTTTCTTCTCTTTTCTAGTATTTTCTTTTCTTTATTATTGTATTGCCAGTTTAAGGAAATTTGTTATTTAATATGAAAACAAGATCTTTTAAGGAAACTAAAACAAACAATGCAAGAAATAAGCTAATTGAAAGGACTGTACGTTAGGGCTAGTATAGGAGATCTAACAAAGCCACTTAATGGTGCAAAATGAGTTGGATTTGGTCTTCCTGAGCCCTTGAGTCCGTTCTTGTCTTTTTGTACAATGTAGGCATTAGGTTGTGACCTCCGTGTGGCCTAATTAAAGTTTGTCTCCTTGAAAAAATAGTTGTTCGTTCTATTCAATACATTTTGCTAATTCAAACTCCTAAACCTTTTATTACTGAAACCTATTTGGTCTTGTAATTTAAAAGTAGGACAACTGTATGTATAAACATGCTCATTATCTATATACCTCATGTTCATGTCATACTGGGCTTCAGGCTGAGAATCCAATCCCTGCCATCAGTTTGCCCAAAATGTTTTAGCCAATCTTGCAATTCTAATCTCATTTGGGACAATTTTTTGGTCTTATATATTTTCACATGACCTCCCAAGTAGTCTCTCTTTAGTTAGTCTTGTATCTTTTATGCTCCTCCAAAAACCATTTTTGGTCTTTAGTCACACTGATCTTGATAAAGGCTGAGTAAATTCTGTCTAGGTTTGTGCCACGAACCTTAATTCCTCCACTTGCTTGTGAACACTCTTTTCTTCTTTCTATGATAAAATCTTCTAAATACAAGAAGTTAGGGTTTGCTTACTCTGACAAGAAAGAAATAAGGGAAAAATGAAGTCCTATGCCTAATCTTGTTGTTGCACCCCAGTGTGTTGAAAAACAATTCAGGGGAGTGGCGTAGGCAACGGAAAAAGAACATTAAGTTTGAATTAGGGCCTTCGTAGAATAATTTGGATTCACCATGTAACATAGAGTTAAGATCACATAAAACAAGCTTTTGAAAACCACTGTGCAAAAAAAAACTAGATGTATTCAATAAGTGTTATAGAAAGGTCTTTTGTTTTGGTAATTTCATAATTAGTCACTTAAATAAATTATAGATTTGGAGTACTCATAGGGAACTGCATTTCTATATATCCTTCTCCCATATCTTATTAAATTTGATTTTTAAAGGTATGTTTGGAGCACCAAAATTAGGAAAACAAGTAAAAGGAAAAGATTTTAAATAATGCTTAATGTCTCTTAAGAGCACTCTGATGTAGTAATTTCTTTGATGCATGGACCAAGACCCTTCAGGACAATGAAGACTGTGTATTTAAGGAAATGAAGGAGTTCAAAAGGAGAGAAATCAAGAAAGGAGTACCTAGTGGTACTTATTATCTGCTTATATTGTGTAAGGACGTAATTTTTGTTAGGTTAATATATATATATATATATATATATATATATATATATTTTTGATAAGTAATGTATCATTAGTGTTAACCACCCATCTACTCTAAAAGCTTAAGCTATTAAAGAGGGTGTGACTTTAATATTTAAAACATCTAACACGCCCCCCTCACATGTGGCCTTCTTTTGGTCCACATGAATTAATAGGGTGATGGTGAGATTTGAACTCAGGACCTTGTCTGATACCATATTAACCACCATCTATTCTAAAAATTTAAGATATTGGGGAGGGTTTAAATTTAATATTTAAATCCCCTGACAATTAGAAAGCGTTCAGACAGGGAAAGCATCCCACAAAAGCTACACAAAGGCCAAATAGGGCCCCTAAACTCTCAATATGTCCAAAAAATCAATTCTCTCCCCTATAGATTTACAATTTCTCCCAATTACCCAACCAAAAAGAGAACTAATAATAGAGAATTTAATCTTCCCAATAGAAGACTCGTCACCGTCGAAGGATCTCCTAATCCGTTCTCTCCACAAACACCACTAACCATACAAGGGTGCCAACCTCCAACAATCACGGGTTTGGGAGCGTTCTGTACACTGTACAGCCTCTATTATGATCTACCGACTTGTCATCCCTCTTGCACATGCAACACCAATTCACTATAACATGTCTCCTCCTCCTCAGGTTATCCAGGTTAAGATCCTTCCCAGACCCTCTGTCCAAGCCAAAATGCCCACCTTCAGAGAGGCCGGTGTGTTCCATACGGCTTCATGGGAAACAGGCCCCATAGTTTTGTTAAGTTATTTTCAAAAGCTAATTTAATAGTTCGGGTTAGAATTTACCTCGGAATCATGGTTTTTAAGACAAATTTGAAGAAAAAGAAAGTGTAAAAAAGGTAAATTCACCTATTGAATTATGAACTCACAAAATAGAGTTTCATTTTATGCTTTCATATCATATAACTTGCTTAGGATGCATAATATACATTATAGAACCAGCAAGGACTTGGTTCGATTGAGCTATTCTGAAGGAGAATCCATTGAACCTGTAAGATCCTGTTTCCTTTTCTGAATACAACTTTAAAATCCTAATTGTTTTTAGCCAGAAAAAATTTATAAATACGCAGAGTGCATAAACATAGAGAGAGAGGTAGATGGCAATACATCCTAAGAGCAAATTCTTTCTTTGATCATCAATATCATCATCTAGCATATAGCATTTGATGATAAGTAGTATTCATAGTGTTGATTACAAACTTTGGAGCACTGAAATTCATCAACACTGAATCACACAAAGAACCCAAGGTTTAGATTGCTAGCTGAGATCAAATCACAAGGAGAAGAGCCAAATTTGAGGGAGAACATCCAGCAGAAATCTGGATCTAATGGAACGAGGGGAATCTATGGGATTTAGAATATGTTACCTAGGATTTTAAACCTTTTCTCATATAGTGGATTGTTCTGTCTAACCTAAGGTTCATTGGTTTAACATTTTCTAGAGTTTTTCACGTATTTTGGATGTCTTTATGATTGATTTATAATTAATTCTGTGTTTTGTATTCATTATTTTTATTATATCGGTTTAAGAAATAATTGATAAAATTCAAAATGTAGTTATTGGCGGTTGAGATTTAACGAAACCTATTCATCTACTCTCTAGATCTAGTTCACTAGTTGGGACATAGCATATCATCAGAGCTTTTGGTTTGTGTGTACAAGAATTCTCTCTCCTTCAATAATAGAAAGTTTTCTCATACAAGGAATACTCCCCTTTTACTTCCTTCACCTTCTATAGTTATACATCCTATTCTTTACCCTAATTTTTCTTTCTTGGTGACCACATTCCGGGATCTTGGGCCTCCTTTCTCCTTGGTTGGCCCAAGCTGCCTTTTATGGCCGAGTGTAGTCTTTGGTTGCCCCGTTCGGGTTGACCCGCGCGTGGTTCGGATCTCTTGCTGTGACGCGTGTCGCTTCTTGAGTGGTACAGTTGTCAATTTCTTGTAGGAGCCCATTTCTGCTTCTTCAGGGTTGTCTTTTTAGCCTTAACCATATTAAACAAGTTCTCACTCTCACCCTATGCTGAAAATGTGCAAAATTGATTGAAAAGTGAAGGTTCATGAATGGCATACATATTAGTTATTTTTAATGTTAACTTAATTTTTAATCATGTGTAGAAGCTTAACCATGATACAGTAGATCTGTCTCTTTTAGGTAAAGTTAAAAGAATCAAATGAATACTAAATACTTCATAGTTCTTTTTTAGTGTTATCCTTGGCAAGGATTGAACTGAAGTCCTACGATGTTAGATCCTACCCTTTAGATTACAGGGAAAGATTTAAGCATGTAGTACTTCGTAGCACTTATTAGTGTTAATTTGGGTATCATTTATTCTATTTACCTTTGGTAAATAGAAAGAAATGTTAAAAGTAGAAAACAAGCATGATATACTTAAGAATGCATAGTTTTTATCTTTACCTTTGACAGGAATAGGGGCCAAGTGATATTAGTCTGGATCCTACACTTCTGGTAATTGAAGAAAGTGGAAATTTAACAGGAAACCTGGTGGTGCTTACTTTATTTTTACCTTTGGCAAGAATAGACTAAGTTGTGTTAGACTTGATCCTATACTTTAGGTAATTGGGAAAGGGAAAAACTGACATGGGACACCTAATACTGTTCCTTTTTTTACCTTAGAAAGAACATGATCTAAGCCATACTAGATCCTATTCTTTATAAAATTGAAGTAAAAACTGAACATGGAATGCTTTGTGGTGTTTTCTCTTTTCTTATTGTTGGAAAGAATAGGATCCAAGTTAGACTAGATCTATTCTTTAGCTAACTGGGGATATAGAAATGTGTTCTAAAAAATAGAGAAAACTATTGAGAGGAATATGTCTTTCTTCCTTACTTAAATAAT